ATTCCCATAAATCACAGTTGAGAGGCAGCTGCTATGGGCCTCCTCTCCCCTCTTCTCCATCTTTTGCTGTATAGGAGGGGGGCGAAGACAGGGACTGAGGAAACCCAATCCTGCTGCGGCTGTTTCAGGCGCTCCGTCAGGCTGCAGACGCAGAGGGGCCGGTGGGTCTGATTTGATTTCAAGCCAGCTGGAAATTGTTGCCTATATAAAGCCTTGAGCTTCCAGGCTTGAGAGGAGTGGGGGAGGGGAGGTGCAAGGAGTGTGGCCCCCGTGCCCCCTGCATCTTGGAACCTGGCTTCACTTCCAGATATGGGGAAGCACCTGTTTTTCTTCTCCCCCCCCAAGCCCTCCCCCCTCTAACTTGGGGGGACCCTTCAACCTGGGAGAAACGAGAGGCCAAAGAGACGGGGCATCATATCCCTTTGCTTTTCGGCTAGCCACTTTCTGTTTGAGATAATTTTCCTTATGACGGATAAGGGAGTGACATAGAACTTGGAAAAAAAATGCCTTTCAAAATGGCTCCCACAGCAAAATGCAGTGAAATGCAATTGGAAACTGAATATGAAAGTAACTAGGATGCAACATTCATTACGCTTAATAGTAATGCTGTAATTACTCGTTGCCTTGCTTTTAAAGTATAACTCGGCTCCACCCTCATTACTCAAATAGTAACTACTTTCAAGCAAATTTGGTAACAAATTTCTTTGAGGCCTTGAGCCAGGGGCTGAAATCCAGTTCTTGGTTTCAGTGCCAATGAATTCAGCCTTGGATTAGGTGATGGGATGAGAGGGTGCATCTGAGCAGGTAGAGACTGGAGGCTGTCTTCCCTTCCCCACCGGTGGGTGCCAGGTCTGCTTTTGGCACATCCCGTTTGTGCGGGGTGTCAGTGCAGAGGACGAGGCCCCCAGTTCAGTCTCTCCCCCTCCCAGTCCCCAATCCTTCTGTGATAAATCCCTCCTCTCCTACCCATCGCCCACCATCCACCCTCTTCCCTTACGGCTCTTCATTCACATCTTGTCTAATGCAAGGGCTCCTTGGAGGAGATTCCCCTGCTTTCACGAAGGGGGAGATCTGCCCTCCCAAACTGTCACAGCTCCAGTTACCAGTATTAGGTGTGAAACGCCTTTGCAGCTGCTGTAGGCCTAGAAAAGGGTGGGGGTGGTTGGTGGGGGTGCCTCTTGGGATAAGAAAAACGGAGCAACATCTGCTGTGATGCCAGAACACGCCAGATCTGGAATGGGTGGGTGGGGGTCATCACCCTCCGGCACAGAGCAGGTGGCATCTGCCAGTTGTGCTCAAAGGAGAGGAGGCAGTGGGGGGGACTGTTTAGTTAGGAAAAGATGCCCCCACCACAGCAGGCTTTGACAAAAGGAAAGTGATAGGAGAGAGAAGACCTCCAACATGCTCCTGTCTGCAGGTAAGATGATAATGCTCAATGAACCAGATCTTAGGAGTCGGAATCCAGAAAAAGTCACTTTTGCAAGCACCAGTTTCAGCCATATTGGGCATGACATACCATTGCAGCAGATTATAAAACCGCCTATAAAATAAAATTCATTAGCAACTGTAACAAGCTACCCTCAACAATCATGTTATCCTACCATTGTTATTTTGTGACAAGAGGTTCTCACATCCTTACAGCACAAACATCATGAAATACGGGCACATCAAAGATGCTGTCACCACAACGTCAAACACCCACCGACTTTCTTCCCAACCAACCAGGATCTCTGTATTTTGTTGCCATGTATAAATATTTCCCATGTTATCTCTTCTTGTCCAGGAAAGCTCACATTAAAATATTACCGTCTTACAGGTGCCATAGTGTGTCTTTTTCGTTTGTTCTTTTATTTATCTATCTTGCTTTGTTTTTACCTATAATGCTTGCACACACTAACACGGCTACCTCTTCTACAAGTCACTCTAACGTGTTTACAGGTTAGTTTTTTTTCCCCACTGCAAAGAGGAGAAACATCATCCACCCTCACCTGGTTTGGTGCAACAGGTAACTTTTTCTGTTCCCTCTTCAATGTTACTTGTAAATGATGTTTAAGGCATTTTAGGTAGGGAGTTCCCCATTTTGGCGCCTCTTTTATAAATCCAAAGACTTTTCTTCAAAAAGTAACACAAGCGAGAGGAGTAAAGCAATGGCTTGGCTCTTCCCCCCAACCCCTAGCTAACCGTTCTTTCCAAAATGCACAGAAATGACAATCGGAAACAAGTCATCTTTTAAAAGACACGCTGACTCTCTGCAGTTATCTGAATCTATATTAGGGAGCTTCCTTTCTCTGTTTCTTTTCCAGCCAGATGGGACATGTGGAAGGGACTGAGCAAGGATGTAGTGTTTCTTTACCACCTCTGCCCCAGAGTCCCTTTTATGGGTTTAATTATGTGATGATTCGGGTTGAAATGCTAGCTTGGCCCTTACTTTCCAAAGACAACAGGCATCTTCACGGAAGGCCCAAGAAACGCCCGGCATTCCCTGGCACAGAAGGTGATAACAGGGGAAGGCTTAAAGAGGCCTTAACAGGGGATTAGAAGAATGGCCTTTGGAAGGCGGGCACCGCCCATAACCACTGCTGGCCATGGCAGCTGAGTGGCACTTCCAAGTCCCATGGCAGTCTATCAGAGCAGAGAGGACCGATCCCTCCAGGTCACACTGGTGGACTTCTCGCTGCCATGATGGATATTGGACTAGATTTCTCGGGACAGCTTCAAGACCCTTCTCACCCTCTTGCCCCTGCAGGGCTTTCTCAGCGCTGGCACCCCAGTTACGGAACTTGAGAGATCTGGATGTCTCCTATACCTTTTGTCTTTCTGGCACCAGTTAAAAACTAGCTAAGTTCCCAATATCTGTAATTTTGGATCTGGATGATTGCTAGATTTGGGATTTTAGATATTTATTGTATGTGGTTTTAATGGTGTGCTTTTATATACATTATGGGCTGTCTTGAGCTATTACCAGGAAGGACAAGGTATAAAGTGAAATAACAGAGTTCTTTCTTATTTTTAAGATCAACAGTAGTAATTCTGACAAGCCGCACAGAAAGCTAAAGCTGAAGAATGAAACAGAGCTGGCTGTGGGAAAACAGAGACTGGGAGCTGGTTGGGAACCACTCTGATAACGTTACTTGCTGGGATTCTGGGAGCGGTTTAAGAATGTCATTCTCTGCCAGAGAGGTTTCTCCCTCTAGAGCAATGGTTCCGAGCCTTGTGTCCCCAGATGTTCTTGGACTAGAACTCCCAGAAGCCCTCCCCACCAGCTGTGCTGGCCTGGGGTTTCTGGGAGTTGTAGTCCAAGAGCATCCAGGGACAAAGTTCAGGAACCACTGCTCTGGAGCATTATTTTTCTGGAATCTCTTTGAAGACACCCTCCTGAAACTGGTTTCAAATTCTAATTGGCATCAGTCCTCATAGAGGAAGTGATACTACTAATAATGATAATACAGTTTTAAGTCAGCGCCAGATATATGATGTAGACGTGCATGCCAGGAAGCAACTGGAGCCGAATGCCATCTGGCACCAGAGAGTGGCTTTCAGTGGGAAGTGGCTGAGGTTGCCCTGCAGGATGAGAGGGTGGTAAAGCGCCTCCCAGTTGCACCCCCTCCCCAGTGGCTTTGGAAAGGGGGTCTGGCTCCCCCGACAGAAGCCACAGCAGGGAAGGCAGTTTATGGCCATAACACAGATATTATACCTCCCACTATACTGTATTGCCCATCTCCGTCTCCGTAGGTTTCTCTCTTCTTGTGAAGACAAAATCAAACCAGTCTGCAAGTTTGGGTTTCCGAGCATCTTAGCTTTCATTTTGATTTCCTAGTAATCACTATTTAGAGGAAAACTTTATAAGCAATGTTTAGAGGGGACTTTAGAAACTCATGTCCCATCCAAGCCACTTCTTATCTCTGTTTATTCCAACACAGCCTCCTTTCTTTTCTGCTGCTGATAAGAGACTGACCGAAGGGCTTTCTTAGCTCGGTGGCAGAGAACTGAATGCGGTGTCCCCTCAGAGGACCCAGTGCTGCCTCTTTATCAGTGACTCCCTATTTTTAGAATTTTCAGGCTGTGTGGATCGGCTCCTCTCAGCACACACTCTCACACTCTTGGTTGTCTCCATTCACAACCCTAGTCTAAGAGTTTTATTTCTGCGCTCTTTCCTCTTTGCTTCCGCTCTGGGCAAGGGGAAGGAAGAGCACCTGAGAAGAGATGAAACCCAGGACCTTTTGGCCATGGGCTGGATTAGGGAGACAGCAGAAAAACCGTGTTTTCAGAAGCCCAAACTGTAGCTTGTTCCTAAGGTACAATGGGGTTGGGTGGGGGGTGGTTAGCTCTGTATTAGCTTCTTGGTAGTCTTTAGAGGCCATGCATTTGCATTTACTCAATCTAGTAGGAAGTAAGCAACACCATCAGAGAGCTCAGGCTTGGGACGTGTTGCCTCCTCACTTAAAGGAGCACTCTGCCCATGTTCAAAGGTGCTCAAGCCATTGTGACTTCACAAATTCCTGAGATTTGCACCCACGCTATGAAAAAAGTGAGTGAGAGAAGGAAGAACAGCAAGTCAGGCACTTAATGAGATAGGTTTAATCTTTATGTCTCGGCGTTCTGCAATGTCTCCACCCAACAAAGTTCAGCTTCAGCCCTATGGCTCTTTCTTGACATTCGGATGTGCTGGTCTCTTGGCCAAGCGGCCCACTCTCGCGTGCTCCGAGGTCCACGTGTCATCCACAGAGTCTTGGCCTCTCTCTCTCTCTTTTTGTTCAGGGAAAAGGGTTCTGGATGTGTGCCTGGTCTTGCAATGAACTGTATTCCCCCCTACCCCGGAGTCACATGAGCCTCATTGGGTCGGTGGCCACGGGGTGGGGGTGGGGGTAAGAGGAGAGGCAAACCACTTTGGCATCTGAAGCAAAGAAGACGCCAACCCAAATTTCAAGCCCAGCAGTGCCCAATCGCGACCCACCCACTTGTCAAGAGGCGGCCAATGAGAAACAGGCAGGGGGGGTATATATATCCCTGGCCTGGGGAGCGGACTCTCGGGTCACCTGCTGTGCTGGAGTGAAACAGGCACCGAGGAAGCCCCTGGGAGTTTGCCGGCTCTTCTTCTCTCTGTCAGGTAATGGCCTTCACTGGTTCCAGCAGCTCTTACTTATTTGGGGGGGGGGAGAGAATGGGTGGAGGGAGAAACAAGCAGGAACAGGTGCAGGGGCTTTTGCTATGCAGTATTCAGACTAGGGGAGGGCAGGATTTCCTTTAGGCTTTCTCAAAGTCTCCCTGCAAATCCACCTATGAATGGCAAAAATGTATCACGGAGCAGAGCAGGCAGAATTGGGTTCCGGGGTTCAAGGTATCCGAATAGAAACGGCACCTCATCCAAAGAGCTACATCCCCACCCCCGGCAGTTTGCCCACACGAAGGGTGTAAGACACCTGGGGTGGCACCCATGACTTTAGATCTCTCGGTGACCTTGCAGGAACATCTGCCAGGGATTCCTCTGATGGCCTTCGTCTTGGCCTGGGGGTGGGAATGAAGAACAGGGGGGACGTCCAAGATCATTGACTGCCATGCCCTCAAGCCCTGCAGGAGAACACCTGGCAAACCTTGGCTGGCCTCCCCTGTGGCAGGCAGGCGCCTGCCAAAGACCTTCCTCCTCCTCCTCTTCCTCCTCCTCCTCCTCCTCCACCCTCACCCCGGGAAGGATCCCCGTCCCTTTCTGGCCAAGAGATTGGGTTTCTTGCCGGTTTCTTGGCTCGGGGGCCCGCTGACACTTTGCAAAAGTAGCCCCTGGAATGCAGGCTAAGTGCGCAAGCGAACGGTTCTCCTGTGCCACTGGGCGCCATCAGGGTCCTTTTGTGGACAAAACCGGTGGCTATAAATAAGCCTCTTCCCTAGAGGCCAGCGGCTAAAATTATCCCTGGTTTTCCACTGGTGCAACTGGATGGGAGTGGTGCAGGATTCTGTGCACACACACACACACACCCCTCACTTCTCTGGAACTTCCACGCCTCCTTGGCACCCAGGCTGGGGCTGAGCAGTGGCTGCCCTCCTGGGCTGTTGACCTCCCTGGAGGTTTGACATTGGGCTTGATTCCCCAAATCTCCTTTTTGCAGCTCTTAGAAGTGGAAAGGTCATTTCCAGCTCCTTCGCTCTTTTCCTTTTTGATTTAATTTAGTTCAGTTTATTTTTATTTATTTATTTATTTTGTTCTAAAGAAAGATGCCAGGGCATGAGCAGGCCTCAGCCTTTCATAGCTGGAAACTCTCCTTCTTCATCAGAGATGTGAGACAATGGACTTATATCAAGTAAACACTGGCCAGTGGGGGAGCCCATAACCCAGTGGCTGCCCTCATCGGGTGGCTACAAGTCCCTGTGTCCACCAAGGCCCACATCCCTGGGGACGAGAGCAGAAGTGGCTAGGCACAGAAAGACCTTTGCAGTGGGTTTTGTAGGGCACTTGTCCTCGAGGAATAAAGTAGAGGAAGAGGAAAAGGTCATAAAGATGGGCATTACCATGTGGCACACTGGTCCTATGGGCAAAGTCAGAAGGAGTTAGATACATTTCGCTTGGCAAAGAGAAAGTGAAAACACCAGGCTGACCCTTTGGTAATTCCTAGAGAGCCAACACATTATTCCCTGGCACCCTAGGTTTTGACCAAACATTAGGAGAAAATTCTTGCCCGGAGCAAAGAATAGCTCCCAACAAGAAGCAATGGGATCGTGGGCTTTTCTCTCCCACGGGTGGTTTTCTCAGAGAGAGGCTGGAAAGATTGCTTTCCATTGGGGAAAACTTCGTTTTCCTGCACCAGGTAGGAGTAAATGACTGACAGGCACTTGGAAATGCCTTTTGTCCCTGTTTGAGTGTAGAGACCCCAAGCTCAACTGAATAAAAGCAGATAAAAGCCTGCTCTTGTGGCAAATCATCACCATCTTCAATGGAACGCTTACTGTGATTTGAAATTTGGTAAAAGTTTGCATTCAAAGCCATTTCCTTTTTCAGCATTTGTAACTGATTCCCATCCTATCAGCTCTAAAACCTTTTTAGTATGATTTGGTAAGGCGAAAGATGTGATGCTAATAAGCAATTGGCACCTGATTAACCCATTTAAAAACCTATGCAGGGGACAAAACATTTAAGGCAGCCGCCATCAAGTATTCATTTGCTCACTGCAATATTCCAATTTATTTTCTCTTCCCTTTAAGTTCACGTATCACCTGAAATGTTCAGGTTGCTGTCAAGGACATTTGGGGTGACGAATTTCGGGGATTCCAAGCCACTGCTGTAAACATTCACAAAACAGTGTTTTTCTGAGATGGTTCCCTCAACCCCACAGTTCCCCAATGGATGTTGGCCCTTTTTGGGTCCCCACCCCCACCCCCACCGGGGGACCAGCCACCCCTCCGCCAACCCCTTTTCCCTTCCACTCTACTTTCCTGCAGGACTCGCCACCCCCCACCGCCACCATGCCTTTCGGGAACACCCACAACAAGTACAAGATGAACTTCCCAGCTGAGGAAGAGTTCCCTGACCTGACCAAGCACAACAACCACATGGCCAAGGCCCTCACCTTCGACATCTACAAGAAACTGAGAGACAAGGAGACCCCCAGCGGTTTCACCCTGGACGACATCATCCAGACAGGCGTGGACAACCCAGGTGGGTCGGCCGCCTTCTGCTGGACGCCTCCAGAACCTCCGCCTAAGGAAGGGGACAGGAGTAGGCCACCAAATAAGTCTCCTCCTGCTGCTGTTTCTTGCAAGCTTGACATAGCTCAGCAGACCCTGTGCACAGTCCCATTATCCAGGGGTCATTCTGTCTCCCAGAGAGTGGACGGGTGTGCCAGCACGAAGGAGGCCCTGCTTGGGCCAGAGGCTGGACTGGATGGACCCTTGAGGTTCCTTCAAGCCCTACTGTTCTATGATCCTATGTGTGTGTGGAGGGGAGGGGGTCAGTTCCACATTACCTTGTTGCAAGAGATTCACACAACTGAGGTTGAGCACAGCACGATGTACAGATCAAGGCGGGCAGCTCTTCATCAAGGCAGCCTTGAGATAAATCTGTAAAAAGCACCTGCGCAGGATGAAAATCTTTGCCCAGGAACTGATGAGTCCTGTTTGACCAAAAGCATTCTATTCTCGGTGCTGAAAGAGAAGGGAATTGGGGGGGGGGGTGATGCCACGTCTTGGAGATGGCCCGCTGAGAAAGGGGCAGCTTGTCTGTTAGGTAAGGGAGGCCCTGCCCCACCTCAAGCTCACTCCCCACCCCAAACACTCCACTCCTGACTGCCTCCTTACCAGAGGTGAAAAGACGCACACATGCCCATGTAATGCATAAACGCTTGCTTGGTGGCCTCTCTGCTCGCCTGTTTGTGAGCATATGTTTGCATGTGTGTGCATGCACATATGCATGTGTATGCACACACACACAAACAATACCTTCTGCCCCACCAGCGACAACTCACACCAACTGATACTGCCCAAGATAAGGTGTCTGTCATCTAAACACAGAGATAGTGCCTGTTCTTCTCATCTTTGTGTAACCCATGCGCAGCCGTAACTAAGCACATGCACAGCCGTAACTAAACACAACTCATCCTGTTAGTCCACTTAGACGCACCTAATCAAGGGTGTCAATGAAAACTTGCTAACGCTTGGTTTTTGGACTCCTATACCCAGGTTCCCCTAGGCAGCCGTGGACCCATCCTGACCTCCATAGGAGCAATCACATGCCACATACAACATCCAAACGAGATAACTCTCCATGCTGTTTAGATCCAACAGCCTGGTGCTTTGCATTGGAGTGCTTCCCAACGTTGGGTCCCCAGATCTTCTTGGACTACAACTCCCAGAAATCCTGGCTAGCACAGCTGGTGGGGAAGGCTTCTGGTCATTTTAGTCCAAGAGCAACATCTGGGGACCCCAGGCTGGGAACCCTCTGCTGCCTAGAGCAGCTGGGAGAGGCCCTTGAGCTCCATCCGTGAACTCCCAGGGCAGCGACTGGCTTCCAGTGGGCTGGAGATGTCTGGGAGGGACTCTTCACTTGCTACTGAAATGCAGGGGCCCCTCCGCCCCCTTTGGCCTTAGACACAGGTCCAGCCTAATGGAGTCTCTGGGTGGTAAGGTCTCCCTCACCACCCACCCACAACCCTGTAGCACATGGAAAGGCCTTCTTCCACACCACAGCCTTCTCTAATGGCTCTTCCTTCCTTGGCGTGCAGGCCACCCCTTCATCATGACTGTGGGATGCGTAGCCGGCGACGAGGAATGCTACACCGTCTTCAAGGAACTGTTCGACCCCATCATCCAGGACCGCCATGGTGGCTACAAACCCACAGACAAGCACAAGACGGACCTCAACCATGAAAACCTGAAGGTGAGATAGGTGGTGGCCTTGGTGTATGGGGTTGGTGGTGCATGGGGGGGGGTGCGTGGGGCTTTTCCTTGGCTTTGAATTTATGTGCAAGAGAATTCTTGCACCCTCCCCTGATTTTTAGTGGGAAAGCTGGCCTGTGTCTCCAAACTTAAAAACCCTAAGGGAACCATAGAAGGGGGGGGGGTTGTGAGATCTAGAGTACTACAGCCTGGAGATGCTGGAGAGGAGCTGCCAGTCTGAGTTGGCAACCTTGGCTGGGCTGGATAGGGGCACAGCTCAGCAGACGCCAGTTTCAAATGTGTATCAGAGGGTCGAGAGGGAATCGTTGAGAGCTAGAAGGTGACATGCCCAAGTCACGTTGCTCCCCCTCCCATCGTTTGCTGCAGGGTGGAGATGATCTGGACCCCAACTATGTGCTCAGCAGCCGTGTGCGGACTGGCCGCAGCATCAAGGGATACACCTTGCCCCCCCACTGCAGCCGTGGGGAGCGCCGTGCCGTGGAGAAGCTGTCTATTACCGGTAAGGGGGCGAGCAAAGGGGGTAGGGGCACTCTGTGTCAACCACTGGTCCGTGCACGCTGACTTCCGAAAGCAAAGCAAACCGTGGCCATCCTGGGGATGTGGGGGGGGGAACTATGATCACCCCACTATTGACCCATTTAGAGTCATTTGCTTAGAAAGCAAAGTTCCACAAGGAGGTAGGAATATCTTAAATATTGACGCCAAATACTCGTCAGATGTATCTTAAAGATGTGATATTTATAGCTGGGACTGGAGAGTGTTGAGTTTCAGGGTCTGGTTATCGGTGAGAGGTGACATGCAATGGCCTTTAGCATTTGGCTGATGGCAGCATTTCGCCAATGAGAAGCAACACATTCACTAATATCTTGACTGCTGTCTGTTGATGAACTTTCAGACTTGATAAATATAATGCAAGACAGAACTGGTGACAAGGAAGTGCAGTCTGGGATGGAGGCCTCAGACATGCACACACACACGTGTGCGCATGCGTGCACACACACACACACACACACACACACACACACCCCTCTCCGATCATATGATTCCAGAACCTAGAAAAATTGCTTTCATGGACTACAGATCCCAGAATCCCTGCAGCGCTGCCTGCTGGATTCTGGGAGCAGTGATCCAAAAAGGACCTTTCCAAGCTCGTGGTCACAGGGTTGCAGGATTGTGGTGCTTGGGGGGGGGAGGGCGTGGGCTGCTCAGGACTCTTTGGAGCAAGGCCAGGAGACGAGCCAAACCTTGGTACCAAGTCCGGAGTCCCAAGCCCGGAATCTGAGTCCAGATTAAAAAACAAGCTTCTCCCCCCCCCCAGAGAAAACGGAGGGGGTGGGTGGGTTCCAAATTGTTGAGTGTCGAGTCCATTAGAGAAAAAACTGGATCAGACTTGACAGCAAGTGCCAGAACTCACGCCCTCCTCTCTGCTAACCACCAGTGGCCTTTTCTTGGTGTCTCTTTCCCCCCCCCGCCCCCGCCCCTCACCCGCTGCCACCCCCAGCTTTGAACAGCCTGACTGGAGAGTTCAAGGGCAAATATTATCCCCTGAAGAACATGACGGATGCGGAGCAGCAGCAGCTGATCGATGACCACTTCCTCTTTGACAAGCCCGTCTCCCCCCTCTTGCTGGCCTCCGGCATGGCCCGCGACTGGCCCGACGCCCGGGGCATCTGGTAAGCACAGCGGGAGGAAGAGGAAGACGGGGCGCCCTCCCTCTCTGATGGCACTAGGCCTTGGGGGTGGGCGCTCCAAGGCACAGGCCGACGTCCCCCCCCACACTTGCTAGGCATAAATCGATGGAGGTGATTGCACAGGACAAGTGATGGCTGCAGAGTCTAAAAGCAAATTAGGCAGAAAAAGCAAGTGGCCTGTCTGTATGGCTGCTGACCATAATAACAAGGTAGAACTTCCAGATTCAGGAACAGTGTATCTGCAAATGTCAGGTGCTGGAAAACAACAGTGGGAACAGGCTCTTGGGCTTCCTGGAGGCATCCACAGAAGGAAATGGGAGGCTGGACTGCCGAGGCACAAACCGGTCTAAGGGAGGCAGTTCTTCTAAGCCATAGAATTACAGCCATCATGATGCTGCCTTGTGGTGCAGGAACCAGAAGCTCAGAAAAGAGGCTTTTTGAACTCCATCTCCCAGAATACTAGTTGGAGGATTCTGGAAGCAGAGAAACCGCCCCCCCCCCAAAGGAACATTTCTCCAAATTCTGGCAGGAACCTGTTGGTCGGTTGGAAGTGTTTGATTCGAATCAGAAGAAAGGGGCAACCCAGTGAATTGTTGTGAAGGAATGAGGAGGCCAGGCTCAGCCCCAGATGCTGGGCATGGAACAGCTGGAGACAGCATGAACGTCTGTGAGATTGGAAGCCAGGACTGCCGTGGGCAGAGTGCATTGCCTTCCTTCCATGTGACTTCAGGCTGGCAGGGAGGGCCCGCCTGGGTTCACCCGCCCTGTCCCCTTCTCCAGCCCCTCTCGATATATCTAGTTATATATATATGGTTGGCATCTTCCGACATGGAACACTTTCTCCCTATAATCTAACCTCAGAATGCCTCTCCTTGGCCACCAGCTTGCCTGTTGGGTAAGAGTAGCCCTGAATAAAAACATAGGATTTGAACAGAAACAAACAAATAATTGTTAGCTTTCCCAGAGCACGATCAGGTATTTCAGGGCGCTTTGGTGCCATCTAACTAACTACAATGCAGTGCTAGGTGATGCCTTCAGGTGTCCGCAGGTCTGAAGTGCTGGGTTTCCGCTCTTTCCCCTCAGGCACAATGACAACAAGACCTTCTTGGTGTGGGTGAACGAGGAGGACCACCTCCGGGTCATCTCCATGCAGAAGGGCGGCAACATGAAGGAGGTCTTCCGCCGATTCTGTGTCGGGCTGCAGAAGGTGAGCCCCTGTGTCTGGAAAAGGGAGTTTGTTAGAACTGCATCACCCATGATCTTCTAGCATCATACTGACTGGACGATCATGGGAACTGTAGTCCAAACTCAGAATCCAGACTTGATATTTGCACTGGACAGGAGCCAGGCTTCTCCTGGCGATCAGCAGGCGAGAAAGGGTGGGATAGCCAACCTTGTGGGCCCCCAGTTGCCTGGCTCCTTTCTAAGGCCTGAGGTTCCAGGCCAGTTGGGCCAGTAGGGATGGAGAAGGGCCAGTTGGAACAGCCTGCCATTCGCATTCTCTCTGCTGGGGCTTTTGCTGAGCCAGAGTTTGACCCCTGAAGCAGCTGACACCTGAGAGAAGCCCGGTGAGCCAAGGACACTTGTCCTTGGTTGTCTGGAGACATGATCTTGAAGGCACGTCAGGGTGCTCATGTGGGCCCCTGTCCTTACCCCCTTCACTCATCAGGCTCCACACACACACACACACACACACACACACACACACACACACACATCCAGTCCGTTTCTTGCTTTGGGGCTGGCTGCTTGTCTCCTTTCTCACTGTGTTCTACTCTCCTGTCCCCCCCCACCCCCAAGATTGAGGAGATCTTCAAGCAAGCTGGCCACCCCTTCATGTGGAATGAGCACTTGGGCTATGTCCTGACCTGCCCGTCCAACCTGGGCACCGGCCTCCGTGGGGGTGTCCACGTCAAGCTGCCTCACCTCAGCAAGCACCCCAAGTTTGAAGAGACCCTGAAGCGCCTCCGCCTGCAGAAACGTGGCACAGGTGAGGCAGGGAGGGAGGGAGGGAAAGGGTGTGTGCACAGACACCACAGCGTAGTACAGACAAAGAGAGTCGGCCAGGCGGCTGTGCATGGCAGCCTCTCCCCAACCCCTAGCCGTGCCAGCTGGACCTTAAGCTAATACTCTCAGCTCCAAATGTTGCCAAAGGAGACTCCGTTCTTTCTTAACCATTTTCCAGCAAGCTGTGCTTGTTCATCATCATCATCATCCCCACTTCACCCAACCACAACAAGCCCAGTGGATCTGGCAGTAGAGTGTAATCAAAGCATTGCTTCTATTGGGTTGGAGCGAACATTCTCGGGTAGGATGATTGCCAGGACATAACATACGACAAATTAATGGTGCTGAGACATCTGTAACCACAGATGAGAAGGACAGGAAAAATCACCTCTTGATCAGACTAATTCCCATTAACGTATTAACTCACCTCCCACTTCACAAACAATGGAGTGGTCTCAGGTGAACCCAGGACTGCGAAAGGAGGAAGCAACAGGGACATGATAACATGATAGATGACCGGTACCGAGAGCAGAAGCAAGATGAATGTTGGAGAGATGGGATTCAGACGGACCTCCGTAGTTTTGAGAGACCTGTGGTTGAGCAAGTCTCAAAGACCTGATCCCCAAAGAAACCTGGTTGGCAAACTTGAAGCAGCCAAAGAAGCCTCTGTAGCGACAATCACAAACGATCAGCCCTTAGGGACTTTTCGCTTCTCAGGACCGGTTCTACTTCTGTTAGATTCCCCGTGATTTGGTCTTGGTTTCTTGGGCGACCACTCGCTCCGTGGTGACCGCCCCTCTCTCCCATTTCTCCCCCGCACAGGTGGCGTGGACACCGAGGCCGTGGGTGCTGTTTTCGACATCTCCAACGCTGACCGCCTGGGCTCCTCCGAGGTGGAGCAGGTCCAGCTGGTGGTCGACGGGGTGAAGCTCATGGTAGAGATGGAGAAGAAGCTGGAGAAAGGCCAAGCCATCGATGACATGATCCCAGCCCAGAAGTGAGGCCTGCCGCGCTGCCCACCCTGTGTGCGGACGCTGGGGCTTGGACTCCAGGGAGAGGGGTGACCCCTCAAAAAAAAACACACAACCCCACCCATTCCTGGCAAGCAGCAGTTCTCTCACTTCCTCCCGTCTCCTCTCCAGGGGAGGTGGGGGGCCTGAGAGGGGGAGGCTGCCCCCGGGAAGAAGCTATTGCCCCCTGAACCATCGTGGAAGGAGTTAATAAAGCTAAGGGTGGCCCCCAGCACCTTGCCTCCTTTGTCATGAAGGGGTCTCTCCTCTGTGTCTTCTAATGGGTTGAGGGGCTGAGCCGCTGCTGGGCAGGCGCCTTGCAAACCTGGTTGGTTGGAGGTGTTGGGGGGGGCGTCATGGACAACCGGACTCTTGCACTGCAGCTGCTGGAGTTAAGCCTAAAACTAAGGATGGGACACACATACGCAGGGAGTCTGGAACGCAAGGATTGGGGTGGGGGGGGCGGCGGCACAGGGGAAGCAGCCTGGGACATGGATGGACAGAACTGAGCGAAGTTCCTTTTCTTGAATGGCAGCTCCCACGACCCTAACTTTTATGGGCATGCTTGGCTGAGGAGCCAGTCTTGGTCATTCCCCCCCCCCTCCAAAAGCCACTTTGCCAAGCTCTCTTGAGAAATTCCAGGGCCCACCTTGTCCGGAGCTCTTGCCAGATGGGAGGCAGGGAGATCTCCTCTTCCTTTCTCTCCCAGCCCCCAGGAGTGAAAAAAAACAAGAACAGAAAATAAAGAGACCCACTCCAGGACCTCAAAGGGGCCCCCCTTCTGGGGTAGCATTTCCTTTTTCAGGTAATCCAGCCGTGCTCTAGTGTTTTAATAAAACTGCCCACCAGACAAGAAAAAAGGCTTTTTTCCAGATGTGCACCCATCGGTCTGTGGAACTGCTTGCCTCAGGATGTGGCTGAGATGGCTTGAAAAGGCAATTGGAAAAATTCATGGTGGCGAAGACGCTCTCTCACTCCCCAGCCATGATGGCTAAGGAGAACACCCACCTCTAAAGACCGCATACCTTTGCCTAGGAGCTGTGGGGTGGGATGGGGGGGCAAGGGAGAAGCAGGGCAGGGTGGACAGAAGGCCAGAGGGGCACGTGGCCTCTCACCCGGGAGGGGCTGGCCAGCCATCCTTTGTCATCTTAAAGGATGGCTGCCCTGTGGAAAAAGAACAAAAAGCCGACATGTCTCTCTCTGCTGAGCCGGGCCCCTTCCATTCCCTGAGAATCTTCCACCAAGGGACTCGCTGGGCTCTGCTCCTGAAACCAGGCAAATTCAGGGTGGCGAGGCGAGGCGTTTCCGACCCACAAGAACAGGAGGAGCAAGAACACTTCTGAACATGTGCAGAGTGCCTTTCGTCCCTACAGACCCCAAGCAGACTCTCTGGTGAGGGAGGGCAGGCTCTCCCTCAGACGCTGCAACCTGTTCACACGGATGCTGAATTTCCTGGGCAAAGACAGAGCGAGACAAGGCAGGAGGCTTTCTACGTTTATTAAGGGGTTCGGTACAGACTGTTGCTCTGGGGCTGGAATAACTTACAACCGTCCCAAGGCTATAGGGGTGGCTCATTAATATCTCTACCCAAGGATACAGGGGCTAACCGGACTATTTATTTACAGGGGAGTCTGTACAGGTGGAGGGGAAGGCGCCTCAAAAGGCAGGGTCTGAGGGGTGGGCAAGGTAGAGATCACGGCAGGAGGGGACCCAGTGTATAGTGTGGGACAAGGTCAACGTAGCAGGGAGGGAGGGGAGAAGGACAGGAAGGGGACCCCCTTAATTTCCCCCGTGAAGCGCTTCCGAATTTAGCATCCTCCATAATGGCCTGGCCAGGGCCTGCAAGCTCCACCTGGACCCCTCCCCACCACCTCTGGGGCTGGAATGGGATTGCCCCAGCCCCACTCCTCCATTGTCCCACCACCACCATCTGAGACAAGAACCCCTGCATTGTCATCATCATCATCACCATCATCCTCAGCCCCAGTGGCTGGCCACAAACCCCAACCCACAACTCCCAAGTTGCTGAACCTGTTTGCCATGCCCGGCTGGGCAGAACTGGGGCCCTTTGACCCCGTGTGCAAAGTCCAAGGTGTGAAGTGCCGTGTGGGGTGCATGGGGTGGCCTGTGCGCTCCCCCTCTCACCCGATTCTTCCGAGGGAGGTTCTCGCCGAGCTGTTCCAGCGTTGGAGGGCCCTCGGCCGGCACTGATTGATCCAAGCGAGCCCTTCAACCAAACCCACAGGAGGGCCAGCCTCCTCCAGAGAGAGGATCTCAGCGCTGGGGTCCTTTCATTTCCCCTGCTTCCCTTTTTCATGTTTCAAGTCTCGCGATTGGGAGAGGAGCTGCGTGACAGCAGCCAGGGGCCCGCCCGCCACATGAGAACTTGGGGGGTGTGAGGACGACCGAGTAGCCAAGGCCAAAGTTCACCCCACAAGCCGCAGGGGACTGGCAGAAGAGCGCCTGGTCAGGTGCAGGATGCTGGCCACCCATGCTGTCCGTTGCTGGGGGCCGAGCCCTATCCAAGCCCTGAAAATACATTTTGGAGCTAAACAGACCTCCTTCCCCCCAAATGCCCCATCAGCCAAGAATGCCCCACTTCCCTTCCAAGCGGCTCTGTCCCGGTTAGTCCTGCTGCTCTTGAGACCCCTGACTCCACGGGATCCGGAAGCCCCCAAGGCTGCGCACCATCGCTATCCCGATGTAGACTTTCTCCTCCAGCGGCTGCTCCAAATCTACTTGGCCATCATCACCCTATCCCTCCCACTGTGTGACTCTGGACTGTCCTGGCAGGGAGCTGGGAGTTTTCAGTCTCACGGCGAGGTCTCTGGTTGCTCGTGGGGGAAAGAGATGAACCTTTTATTACTCTTGAGCTCAACTGGGTTTGGACCGCCTGGAGACCTCCTGGCTTACCACCCCCAAAGGTCCAACACGCACAGCATGGGGGTGGGGAGGTCAAACCCAGGTATTTCAGGTTTGGGAAATGGAAGGGGTTCAATTCTGGGTCTCCCAAATGGACGCACGCCCAGTTCCTCTCAAAGAATGAGTTAAGGGGAAGCCATGACAAGAGGGTCAAAGGCTTGGGTGGGGTGGGCACCCCCATGGAAAGGGAGAATCGAGGGGGGGGGCAGAACTGAGCACAAGATTGTCTTGGTCTTCAGCACCTTCTCCTCCTCCTCCTCCAACAGCATCCACCGGAGGCTCAGCGCATGAGAGAGGGAACTCTCTTTTGCGTGGGTTAGCAAAGAGCCAGCCACCCCCAAAATCTGGTGGAGTCCACCACCCACATCTCCTCTCTCTCCCCCAACCCCCAACGCG